AAAATGGCCAAAAACGCTGTTTTTAGGGGTTTCAACCCCTTTTTTCTCGAAAACGTGACGTGATGGGAAGTTTTGGACCCCAGATTCGTGTTCAGCACGAAAAATCCGTTCGGAAACACCAGGTCCCGTCTTATTCGCAAAACCCTTGTAGACCAGTGTAATGTGTTTCCTGTTATCAGTTCATGTTGTTGTAAGAACACGCAATACAAAATTGAGGGGATTATCCAACATATTGTTAATTAGAAAAACTTCAACATAAATCAATTAAAGGATAAGAAATATTATTTTTGTTTTGCTAAAATAAATTTTTACTTTAAATCTCATTTTTTGTAACTAAATCACAAGATTGACTGTCAACAATCTGTTGCATCATCTCACGTGCCCAAACTTGGAAAACATAAATATTTTCGAACAGTGAATTAGCACCAATTCAGTATTAATTCTGCATTGTTATAATCTAAAAAATATATATATTTACCTCTTTGAAAATATTTGTGTGTGTGTCCGATTTTTGTTTTGCAGTTCTTTGCGTTTATTCTGTTCTCTATTTCAATAATTATACATCTCGGTTATTGTTATTTGTTCCTTTTAATTTTTGTTTATTCGAAACTCAATAAAATCTCAGTGTTTACAAAATTTGTAGAGAAAAGGTCTATACTTTTTTGGCTTCTTAATAGTTTTTGTTCCATTCATGTCATTCATTCTCTACCCGAAACACATCTGATAAACAACAAACAACCTCTTTGTCACTATTACGTACATCACAACAAACAGAATCATAAAAAATAACTTTATAATGTCAGTATTAATAATGCATTAATACATACATACATATGGATTTGTAGTTATATAAATTTTCGTACCATAGGGAGTATACATCAAAGCAAATCTGAGCGAGAATAAGATTGCATATTATTTTTAAAATATATTTGTAGCTGTCTCTTGGTTTTTTTTTATCTAAATGAGTATTTAAACAAATAAATACCGTGAACTTGCATATAAGATTCAAAAATGCCTGCAATCAAATTTTAAACAACAAACCTATCTTTAAACGGACATTACGTGGGGCTCTAAGTCCAACTAAAGACTTTATATGCAACTAATCACCTTCTCAGACAAGCAAATAGGGACGGAAGGCATTGCCATATCTTGGGTTGCAAAGGATTATTGTTGTTGTAACAGCATACAAATTCCCCAAAGAGTTTTTGGGGAGTGATGATGGACTGGCAGTCCTTGGCCAGATATATGAATCTGTGTTGTTCCGACTGTCGTAACAAAATAATTTTATTAGGCATCCGGATATTCGGTTTATCCGGATGAAGTTCCCAGCCCTAGCCTGCTGTAAGATGAGCTTAACGCAACTCTTAGCAGAAGCCGTTTTAAGGATTTACTTAGCTTTAAAATCAGTAACTATGTTGATGCCATAGAATGATCTCAAGACTCACCTCGTCGACGATTTTATTACCTTCCCTCATTCCTTCCGTTAGATAAAAAAAAAAAACTGAGCGAAATCCTTTCTACTTAACGAATAAGCGAATAAATTCGTATCTGTTATGCCCTCAGTATGCATTATTTTCCAAATTTCATTGGGAGCAATATCTGTTTAATTAAATTTTTCGGTTAAAGCTACATAGAGAAGAGGTATAGTTTTCATAACCAAAAACAACTTTGTATTTGTCAATGTTATTGTGGCTTGTTAATATTAAAAACAAAAACAACTTTTCTTAAAAATAATTTAAAGAAGTACGACTCCTGTAAATACAATAACCAATACTTATACAATATAAATACTAACTCACTTATGCATAAATATTAACGTTTCGTCCAATAAGTAACGAAAAAATTCGTATTCATTGAATATAATTTTCTTTGGCAGCTGATAAAGCAAACATTCTCAATGTGAGCGTCGTGTCGAGTTCAATTCGTATTTCGAGTGTCGATTTGTATCAAAACGGGAAAACATGGCAGCACTGGACAACTTTTCTCATCTACTTATTTCAGCACGACAGTAGGCAGTGCCAATGTTGAGTCGTACAATTTAGTCTAATTTACGACTTACGCAATGAGGCTGAAAGTTTAATTTCAAGGTTGTAAAGGTGCTTTTTTTCTAGCCCAAAATGCAGCAAATACTTATTGGACGAACTTTCGTTTGCTTTATTGTGTCTTTAGTTAAGTTTTGGTGCCAGTATGACTAAAATTAGAGGCATTTGGATTATATGTACTTACCTATTTTTGAATTTTTTTTATTTTACGCTTCAAAGTAATCAAATAGGTGTACTCACTATCATACTCCAATTTATTTAAAGTGTACTATTATTAATTGTTTAATTACTTTGAAAATTACTTTTTTTCGAAATTTTATACACGATTATATAGTATATAGCGCAAATTCAGTTTAAACCAAATTAACATGAAGTTTGCTACTTTCAAAATTTTATTTTATTTTTAGAAGATCGTAAAAATCGGCTTTAAGTTTTTAATTCTAAATATGGAAAAAACATTTTTTTTTTTAATAATTCATTTTTTCACAAGATTTTCCGAGATTTTATTCGACCAATTTTTTTTTGGAAGCGCTTGATATCTATTACTTGCAAACACATTTAAATGCTATTTTCTGTTTATCTATTTTTATGGTTACTTTTTTTCCAACTACTCTACTAACACCTTGAATGAGAAACTGTGTAATGGAAATTTATTGTGATGGGATTACTTACGCTATGATTATTATATTTATTATTTGTTATTGATTTGTGAGAAAAAAAGAAAAGTTGTACATTATCCATTTTTATTCTTTTTTCTTTCCCTTTCCCTATACAAATTTTTATATTAAAAATAAAAAACTGAAATTTCAAAAAAAAAAATGCGAAATGTGTATGCGTGTGTGTAATGCTTCTGCTGCGCTGCTGCTGTTGCACATGCGCACTTTCCTCACTTCACACATCTACACTTGTTTACATACACTACGTTTTATACAAACTCCGTTCACCACCATATTTCGCCATTACTGTCACCGTTCCCGCCACCAACACCATCACTACCACAACAATTTTTATTATTCACCCGCTTTGGTTACGACGCTGCAACACTCTTTGCAACTGTAGTCCGCCAACGAAGAGAGCGCATCGGATCCACAGCTGGAGCGTCAGGTGGAAACCATTCGCAATTTGGTAGATTCGTACATGAAGATCGTCACAAAGACCACACGTGATATGGTACCGAAAGCTATTATGATGTTAATCATTAACAATACAAAAGATTTCATCAATGGCGAGCTGTTGGCGCACTTGTATGCCACTGGAGATCAGGTGAGCGTTTTATTGGTTGTGGAATTAAGAGTTCAGATGCTTACATTATGACTGCTTTTCAATATTCACAGGCACAAATGATGGAAGAATCAGCGGAATCGGCCACAAAACGTGAAGAGATGCTGCGCATGTATCATGCCTGCAAGGAAGCGCTACGAATTATCGGTAAGATAGGTTGCAGAAAAAAAAATTGCAAGATTATTGGAGGAAAAGTGTAACAAAATTGCGCCAAAAATGGTCTTTACAACCACTTTGTCAAAATACCTCGACTCAAGCGCCACCTATTGGGTGAATTTCATTGTCAAAGTTCGTCATTGAAAAACATTTTTTTCAAAACATAAGCAAATGAGATCAAAGCTACGATTTTTAGTGTATGTGTTGGTAAAAGTATGATTTGGGTGCGGTGCATGATTTCTCAAGACAATCATTTGATAGCAGATGATGGCTGCAATATTTAAGTCATCAAAATATTTCCTCAACTAATCCAAAAAATATCACAAAGTAGTTTCCTATGGTTTTTTGACTTCATACAAAATTTCCAAACAACGGTTAAGGTGTTCTAGTGACCAATTGATTGATGATTAATTTTATAATTAAATAATTTTGACAATATTCCTTTTTGTATCAATATCAGGTGATAAACCAGCACAAATTTTCAATATCGTACGATCCGATATTCGTTGTTCTGGTAATCGTACGAAATGATTTTTATTCATTTTTTATTATTATCGGATCTAATACGTTTCGCAGTGTCGTAACAAGTGAGTGTGTAGGATAATATTCGAGCGAATGGTAACGTTTGGATACCGTAATAGGCATGATTATCTTTTCGAATTTATCTGATAAAAAATATTCGAAATATTTCCAGGTGATGTATCCATGGCCACAGTGTCGTCACCGCTACCACCACCTGTTAAAAATGATTGGTTGCCCAGCGGCTTGGATAATCCACGTCTCTCGCCACCCAGTCCTGGTGGTCCACGCAAACCTGCACCCACATCACAGGTAAAGTAAAAATAGTAAAAAAATAAATAAAAAGTAATAAACAAAAAAAATAAAAAGATCGATAAAAACAAAAGGATTTGGGAAATAAACACTAAGTTAAACACTAATTATATTAAAAAATTTGGATATTAAAAAATTAAAAAAATAACATAATAAAATTAAACAATTGCAAAATACAAAATTAAACAACCATAAAATATTAAATTTAAACCATTACAAAATATAAAATTTTAACATTACAAAATAAAAAAAATTGAATCAATTACCAAATAAAAAAATTAGAAATAAAAATTGTATGCGGTAAAATAAAAAAGCTTAAAAAAATATAAAATAAAAAAAAATAATAATAAATTAAGTAAACTAAATACATGCATAAATTAAAACATTAAGAAGAATTTAATTAAAAACAAAATTAATAAAAATAGTAAGTTAAGAAAATATAAAAATTACGTATATACATGAAGACAAGTAATTTTTAAGCAAAAAACAAAACCGACTTCTCCTTTTTTGGAAGTCGGTTAAAAAGGCCATGTGAGCAGAAGTAGCCTAACGCACATTTTTTTTACTTAAAATATTTTAAAATGAGATCAACTTAAAATAAAATTAGCTTTTTCCTTAATTTTATTATATGTACATGTAGCTTTGTACTTTAAAACTAAAGAATAAAAAACTTATTTTAAAATGTAAAACTATTTGAGTAGTTGAGTACAAAAAAAGCGAGTTTAGGGCACTTTGCCTTACGGCCTTATATAAAAAATAAAAGATTAACAAATAAAAAAATTTAATAAATAAATAACACAATAATAATAAAGAAATTGACAAAAGAAAGTAGTATTCTTTTTTTTGTAAATAAAAAAAATATCAAATCGATTCATCATTATCTTTTAGCTAAAGCTGATTAAAACTGCTATATGTATTTGTCATTTTTAAATTTCTCCTTAATTTTACTTTGCAGGGCTCTTTGGGCGGCGCCGGTGGACGCGGCCCGCCACCACCACCTGCATCAGGGCGTCCAGCGCCAGCGATTCCCAATCGCCCAGGCGGCGGTGCTCCACCATTGCCAGGCGGCCGTCCTGGCGGCGCTCTGCCACCACCACTATTACCTTCGTAAGTACACAATTTTTATTTTTTCTCTATTCGAAGTAGTTTCTACTTGCGTTTTTGAACTTTGCTTGATTTTGTTTGATTATTATTTGTAATAGTTATTATTTTATGCACTGTCGAACGGAAGTGAGAATCATTAGTTAAACTGAATATGGTTTAAAGAAACATTGGTAATTTTCTCTAAAACTACACGAAGTACTTATAAAAAACTTAATTTATCGACGATTGGGACCTCTTTTTCGCTTTAAAAAACACACGCTGATCTAATACTAATAGGAGGTAACAACTATGTATATTGGTTACTTACATACAAACGAGGAATCGGGTTTTGCACTTAAGCTTAATTGAAAAGAAATCGTACTATGCATACCACTTGACAAAATTTAGGAGTAATTTTCTTGGGTTTAGCGCGGCTTTACTTTTGATACATTTACCTTTTTTATTTTATACATTGACATTTATTTCAAAAAAAAAAAAATTAAAATTAAATTTTTTTTATACAAATTGTTTCTTTTATAATGACTTCAAATACTAATTCTTAATAAATTCGTTATTTATGTTGTTGAAAAGGAAATACAATCTATTAGAAAACTGAAAATACTAGTAAATCGTTTATATAATAATAATGTTTATGTTAACAAAGTGTCAATTTAATTATTTTAATTTAATTTTAATCTTTAGTTTTTATTCTATTTAAATCATTATGTGACTAACTAACAGGTACATACAGTTGTCCACAAAATAAAACGATTGCGATACTTTGACCAGTTTTGACTCTTTTTTTCTTTTATTTATTTAATGTTTATGATTTTTTATAAAATCTAGATTTTTTTCTAAATCTAGATTTTTTTCTAAATCTAGATTTTTTTCTAAATCTATAGCCATATAAATCTACATTTCAAACTTTGTACAAAAATTATAAAAATTCGATAAATTTTCTTAACAATCAACAAGTTTTGAAAAAAAGTGTAAACATTTGATATGCCGGATTTTGTGGTAAATTGACAAAAAAATATTAGGATGTCAGTAGCAGGTATCATTTTCAGTCGAAAGATTTTTGTTGGTCTGCTGTTGTTCAAACTAGTTTTGGGTACTTGAATTTTATCTTAAACAAAAAATGTATTAACGTTATGAAAGCAGTTCACTATGCAGTTTAGATTCCATTTTGCATATGACAAAGTTTTGGTTTTATAATTGTAATGTATGTATTTACAATTTATGATTAACTACGTTTTGTCAGGAATACATACATATAAGTCAGTTTGGGTCTTTACGAAGTTATTTTCCACTTCACTTTTATGTTAACGATCATTAAGTAGTCAGCTGTATATAGATTTTTGTAAAATTTTTTTCTTTTTCATCCTAACATCACAAGAAATTTAATAACAAAAGATGTTTTTGTCTCTTTTCTTCTTTTTCCCATTGTTCACTCTATTTTCACAAATTTTGTGTGCCTTAAATTTGCTAACACCGAACAAAAACTTATAAAAAAAAAAATCTTTTCATCTCTGACTTCTCTCTCAACTCATACTAACTTCATACATATTTTCATTCAAATGAACTTGCCATTTCCATTTTTTTCGCAACGCAAACCATTCTTGTGAATAATTGAACTTTTTTCAAATGCTTTCGCCGCGCGAAATGTAACGCTGCTTGCTAACAGACGTCGCTAAATTACTACATAACCTTAAATCGCACCATTAATTATACAAGTACATATGCTTATGTGTTTACAAAATACCTTAACATTACATACTACAAACTAAATTTAATTAACTAAAAATTTATTTAAGCAATTATCGGCATCTCAATGTGTAAGCATTCAATGAAAAATACGGCAATAAAATAAATACATAAATATATACATGTGTAATGAAAAATATCCTCCCCAAAAAAAATATATGTGTGTATATATGTACATACATACATATTCCCATAACAGAGTTGTTTTTTGCTCTATGCAAACGAAAAAAGCTGGTGTTTCCACATCAATTTTTTGCACTAAGCAAAATTGAAAAAAAAAACTAAAATTAAAATATACATATACAAGTATATAGTATATAGTATATAAATGCATATACAATATTTATGAAATTATTATTAGCGTAAGATTAGCGTGTTACTGCAAAAAATGTATTTCATTTGCATTGAGTTATTTTGTAAAAACGCATAAACAGACCCTCGACGCTTATTGCAAACTAAAAAAATATAAATAAATAAAAAACATAGTAAAATATAAAACAGGAAATAAAATATCAACCCAAAAGCTATAACAAAGAATAGAATGATAATGTTACAAATAGTAGTTAAAAACAAAAAAAAACAACTAGATACTAAAATAATCACTTGAAGATGTTTGCCACTATTTCTAGGCATATTGTTGTTAATGATTGTAATTAAAATATGCAATAAAAGTTACATTTAAAAATACATAAAATGCGATTTTATAACATTTTTTTTTTGTGGAATTATTTACATAATGCCAGATTTCCACTTTCGCAACACATTAAAGAAAAAGTTGTTCATTTAATAATACCCGTGTCATTAAGTTGGTTTCCACTTGGCATTTCTTAAATTGCGCACATTTTGAAATTTAAATGCGTAGTGGGTTATAAAATTGCGCAGTTAGTCGAATTTTCACAAAGCATTGATATATAAAAAAATGCGTGCCATTTACAATACCACATGGAGAGTAATTACGTAAAGACGGAAGTTTTGTCATTTAATGCCCAGTTGAAATGCACCATATGTTGTGTTGATATTTTGGTTATAGCCAGGTTGTCAGCAACATCTCTAACATTTTTTAATAGTTTTTGTTTAGAATTTATTCCCTCAAACTTAATTTAAGAACATCTTCCTAATATTTTCTAATGGCAAATTTTCACTAGACATGGCATGAGCGTAAAAATTTTCAGAGTTTATATTTTTATTTATTTAACGCTAAAATCTCTACCAATAGCTTTCATACTCGTTTTTAATTAAATTCGCCCAGCTAAAATGGTCTTAAAGACGTAATTGAATGATTTTATTTTAAAAATTTGATTTGTTAGAATTCTTAGATATTCTATTTTTTTATGCCTAATTTCCACTAGGCATTAAAATGACAAAATGTGTCTGCCATTTAAAAAGCGCCATGCGGAAACAGGCACGTAATATCACGGGCATTTTTTAATGCCCAACATTGTCATTAAAAATGTTGTCATTCAATGCCTAGTGGAAATCGAGTATAATAGCCTGTTTCCACCAAAAGCTTAACTGCAGTTAAGAGCTCAGATAAGTACCAATTATTTTAACATGGGGTGATTGGCAATCTTTATTTCTTAGGTTTTTCTTTCATACTTTCGTTTACTTGTACTTAATATGGACCAATTACTCCGTTCGAGTGATAATCTCGTTTTTCCAATTGTCATAAACTGCAGTTAAGGCTTGGTGGAAATGCCCTATAAAACATGTTTCTCCAAAATTTAAAAGCCGATCATTGCGTTTTCACATACACATTCATTTATTTTTCGTGCTTTTTATACCTTTCATGAGCATGAAATGGTATTATAACTTGGGCCCGAGTTTGTAAGTACCAGAACAAAAAGAGATAGACCCATGAAAATGTATACTTATATGATCAGAACGTCGAGCTGAGTTGATTTAGCCATGTCCGTCTGTCCGTCTGTCCGTCTGTCTGTCTGTTTGTATGCAATCTAGTCTCTCAGTTTTCGAGATATCCGGATCAAATTTGGTAGGTGGGTGTATTTTTATAATGTATTAATCATTTGTCGGAACCGGAAGAATCGGACCACTATAACATATAGCTCCCATACAACTGATTGTTCAGATATGAGATTTTTCATTATAACTTCTCCATTTATGCAGCTACGAACATGAAATTTTGCAATACTTGCACCCATTATCAACAGAATACTTACAGTGAAAATTACAAAGATCGGGTCACTATAACCTATAGCTCCCATACAACTGATTGTTCAGATATAAAATTTTGCGTTATAACTCCTCCATTTATATAGCTAGGAACATGAAATTCCGCACTGTTTTCAATAATTATCAACAAAAAACTTACAGTGAAAATTAAAAAGATCGGGTAACTATAACCTATAGCTCCCATACAACTGATTGTTCAGATATGAGATTTTTCGTTATAATTCATCCATTTATGTAGCTAGGACCATGAAATTTCGCGCTGTTTTCACTCATTATCAACAGAAGACTTACAGCGAAAATAACAAAGATCGGGTCACTATAACCTGCAGCCCCCATACAACTGATTGTTCAGATATGAGGTCTTTTATCATAACTCCTCCATTTATGCAGCTAGGAACATGAAATTCCGCACCATTTTCACTCATTATTAACAGAATACTTGCAGTGGAAATAACAAGGATCGGATGACTACAACATATATCTTCCATACATCTGATTGTTCAGATATGGGATTTTACTGTAAAACTTCTTTATTTGAACAGCTAAAACCGATAAATTTCGTAAGATATTTTATAAATAATAATACAAAGTCTACTGAGAAAATCGTCAAAATCTATGCTGTATAAGCTTTATCTCCTATAGCACTGATTGTTAAGATACCAGTTTTTGCCATATATCTCCTTTATGTACGAAACTAAACCCAATAAATTGTGTTACCGGTTTACATACCGATCACATAGCGGTGAAAATCACTTAGATTGGTGTCATATAAAGTATATCTTCCATACCTCTGATTGTTTAGATGCGATTTTTTATATAAGTATGTAACTCTATCGATGTATGCAGATGTATTCAAAAGCAGTAATCTGTCAAAGTAAAATTTGCAGATGTTCATGAAAGGTATGAAGCCTTCGGCATAGCCGAAGACAGCGCTGCTCTACTTGTTTATATGTATGTATGTAGTATGTGTGTTTGTATATATTTGTTTCATCAACTTCATAACTAAATGTTTGTAATTTGTTTTCATATTTCTTCATCAATTTTCTATTTCTTTTAGTTTTTATGCAAACTTTACTTTTAATCAATCTCAGTGTAAATATTGTGGGCATTCACAACTGCCTGGTTATCTGGTTGGAAATTGTTATTGTCCAGCATATTTAATTGCTGTGAACTGAATAAAAAAAAAAATAGCCAAATAGCTCAATAGCCAGGCAGTTGGGAACACCCACATTGCATTTATTTTTTAGATCTTTTATGAATTTGATGCCATTCCATACGGAAAATAATTTTTGTCTTCTTAAATTTTTCATTTACACCCAGCCATTTTCGTAATCACTTACTTCATTTTTAAATTTTTTTTAATTGTCCCCAATTCTTTAACATTTTTTATTTTTTAAAGTTCTTATTTTTTTTTAATTTTTCTTTCTTTTTATATATTTTTTTGTTAGTTCAGTTTTTCTGTTAACTTATTTATTTTTTACCTGTTTGTTACATTAACTTTTTATATTCTTTAATTTAATTTTTTATATTTTTCATTAATTATTTTTTTTAATTTTTGGTTAATTCTTTAATTTTGTATTTTGTGTAATTATTTCGGTAAATTGATTTTTGCAATTTATGCTAATTGGCCAACCTTTTGAATACTTTTTTAATTTTATGCATGTAATATTTTATTTATAATTTTTGAAATTATTTTGGAAAATTTTTTTATTTCAAATAAAAATATTTGGGATACTTAGTGGCATTTTCTCACCTGGTTTTAAAATTTACCTGCCCTTTAAACACATTTTTCGGAACAAAATTTCTGTTTAAAGAGCAGATAAGCAGACTTTTAAAACTTACTTGAGAAAACGGCCCTTAGATTTCTTAGTGTTTTTGGACTATTTTCAATAATTCCTTCAAGGTGTTTTAAATTTTAAAAGTTAAGAATTTCAATATGGACATATAGTTTAATTAGTTTGTTTTATTTCTCCAAACTTCTTTTTTAATTATTAAATTGTGATTTCATATTTTTTTGTTAGTTATTAAAATAAATTTTGCCAGTTTATCTTTAGTGTATACTTACAGTTTTATGTTTTCATAACCACTTTTATGTTTTTTTCATTTCTTATGTTAATATTTTCTTTGACCTGAAACAAGTTCGGGGTATCAAAATTCCACATACAAGGGGTTTCAAACGTCTCGATAAATGTGTATTTCTCCAAGTCAATGCTCGACAAGAAATTACTATATCTTCCCTCAATTCGTTCTTTTGGTGCGTTGAACGTTTGTGTTGCAATAAAATATAACAGCAATAATAAATATAATAAAACATACACACACACAACCACATACGAGTTCCTAGATTTAACAATAAAAGAGAGAAAAGAATAAAATGAATTTAAAAATATGTATATTTCGGCAGTGCGGTTTTAAATATTTAAAAAAAAGTGCGCCAAAGTTATTTTCCAAGTAGATTTTCCGTTCGTTCATTCGTTAAGGCACAGTATATTTTACTACAAAGCAACAACAATGCTATCAATACAAATCATGCAACTATTTTTTTTCGCCGTCTGGCAACTTTCGTTATTAAAGCCGTGTCACCGGAGCGGTCGGCGGTGCCATTACACAACAAACTGGAGCGAATCGTTACATACCGGCGAGCATGCAGGGACAGGTGAATCAGGCTGTGGGCCAGGCAGCCGTGAATGAACTTTCCAATGTTTTTGCGACACGTTTCAAGTAAACAAAAGAACTCAAAAAAAAAACACTAAAAAAAATATACAAAAAAGAAAACAATTTCAAAGCAAAATGCGAAGCTTTGTTATTTACTAATTCATATGTATTTACAAAACTAAAAAAAAAACTTTCAGATCTTTTTTGAATGTTATTAAGTCTAGAATATTATTTAAAACACTCGCACATACAAACAAAAACAAAAAAAAAACACTTTATACCAGTATTGGCCGCATTGCGCATTTGTTGTGTATGTGTTTTTGTTTTCTTCGTTTTTTCGAATTTATAATTACTTTACTTATTTAGTTATGCATATTTATTACTTTAATATAACTATAATTATTTTGTATGTGTTTTTCGCACTAAATTTAATGCATATGTTTTATTTTTATTATTTTTACTAAACTTTGAGTTGCAAAGCTTGCAAATTTTATTACAATTCTTTTGCCGTTGCTTTACTTTGATTTATTAATTATACTTCTTAAAACTTCATATGTTTTTCATTCTATTAATCCATTGAACTCGAATTCATCCACAACATCATTAGTGAACTTATTTTAAATCATTGCTTGCTATTTATTTAATTAAAAAATTTGTAACGAAAAACTGCTATTCAAAATATTTCTCTTTGATGCAAAAAACACCGTCAAATTATAGGCTGAAATTAGGAATAGTGCACAAATTTCGCCATTAGGGGTTTGTGGAAATCAAATATTAGGAAATGTCTTTTTCAAATTTAAAAAAGCTCACGAAATATCGGTGCAATCGATTACTACTTCAATATTAGTTAATTTCGGTGCATAACTGTGCTTTGGTTCAAAACTTTCCGAATTTATAGCTTTAAAATGTTTTTTTTTGTTTTTTTCTTTTTTTGTTATTCTGTAAATAGTTTCCTCAGTTTTTACAAAAAATAATTTACATATATATTTCCGCTGGACATTACACTGTCCATAAACATATGTATTTACATACCTACATCCCTATTTGCAATGAATATACATACATACAAAAAATAATTAAGTATATTATACACACCAACAATTATTTAGGGAATTAAAGAAACATGCGTTAAGTAAACATATACAAATATAAAACTAAATACATACACAAAAATAATACAATTAAATTTATTATATATCTAAATCTAAGTACATAATTATCTAATTGAATTAAAAATTCGTTGTTGCTAATTGTGTGTTAATGTAG